AAACAGCGTTTTATGTAACGAATAGGAACTATTTAAAAAAAGTGAGGATAATATTTCCTTCGATTACGCCACATTTTAGTAAACCATTATTTACGGTAATTCACCGCGCGCCTTCTAATGAGTTACCGGAACTGATAACCCATGAAATTATACTTAAACACCAAAACAGACGATACGTGACATAAATTGTCTCATTACCGATACAAAATTCGTATCTATACGCCTTGAATTAACGAAGTCACCTTCTATTTTAGAGTTAACAAAACAACTTAAATGAATAACCATCGAACTTGTCGTACAACTAGGATCAGATTCTGCGAGGTATAAAATTAAGTTCGTTCATTGAATGAACCCAAAGAAATAGACACCGAGTGAATATTTTATAGACTTCTCGCTGACACCCAGTTGTTCTCTTTCAAGAAATCGGGTAAGTTAAGTTGAGAACCGCCGTGGTTGTGAGTGTGCGCGGCACAGGTAGGTCGGGTTGAACCCACAGCTCTCTACGGAATATACAGACACTTGGCGAGATTCGCGAGGTCACGTGCTGCATTTGGACAGGCAGCGCTAATTTCATTATTTATAGCCGAAGCTTTCGATTTGCCGATCGGCCATTACTTCCCGACAACGAGGACGGACCGGTAGCCGTGTGCTTCTCGACTCGATCCCCTCAACGGCGAACCGATCCGCAGCGCATCCGGCTGAAATAGACGCGACCGCGGTAAAAATAAAATGCACGAAAACACGAGGAAGCAACAAGCGTTCGAATAATTCCTAACTTTCGATTTCGCCGGCTCTGACAGAGTCAGAAATTTTCCTTCGAACCCCTGGCCTTTCACAATAAAGAGATTCGAGGGAGCGAACGGTTCGGAAACAGGTAGGAAATACAGGTCTCCGTTGGGTCTGAATTAGTCACGGTATAGATGATATTTCGTACGAGAATCAGACAAAGTTTCTTTTTATCGTTGTTTTCGAGAGTGCAGCAGATGTTCCACGGTTGAACAGCAGCGTTACTTTTCCTATAAGTCTTAAACGCCGTATCTATAATAACGAGCGCCAAGTTCTCTTCTACAGACCTACACGGAGTACGTGATTGATCGTTTCGATTCTGATCGTACGACACGGAATCGGAAGATATCGGAGCGAGTGGACCTGCTTATCAAACCGCGGAGATACTTATCTGAAACCAGCTGTTAACACCTCGACCACCAGCGTGTGCAACTTTTCGAGTGGATACGCGCAGCGAATCCGCTTTCAATTAACCATGTCCGAACGATCGGACTAGTCGGGTAATCCTGACGAACGACGCTCGGTTACGAAGCGAAGGAGCGGAATGTATAAACACAGCGTAGATAAGGAATCGGGTCAATTATCTTCGAATCCGCTCGTTTCGAGATAACCGGCCCGTTTATCGAGCTATGAAATTGTTATCGCCGACGATCCGCTATAGCTTCGACGGTAACCAATTTTGGTACTGTCAACGATCAAGTTTTCTAACCATAAAACCGTCAAATAATCATGCATACAATATCAATAGATTGATGTTCAGTTATATATGATTGGGATTTTATGGGTTCACGAAAAATTTTAAACGGCTAAAATAAATCTCCCTCTAGATTTCATTCTCTTAATTGGCATCACAAGTTTCATTTTGTAAAAGAATGTCTGCAGTGTATTGATAATAGTTGGTATTCGTGCTTACGATTCAATGAACACTGTTCTGCGACGAACAAATTAGCCGAAGCAAGAAGTAGCAGGTAGCCATACATAATTATGCTCAAACTGCGTAGTAAAAATGAAAAGAAGTAGAAAATCGCGATTAGGGACGACTTATGAACGTCGATGGGCTTTTGGCAAATCGCACCTGTCCGGTGGAACACCTGTATCGGCGTTCCTAGGTAAAACCATGACTCAAGGAGGCCATTCTCGTGCTCATTGTCACCTCGTCAGCCTTCTTGCGTTCCGTTCACCCTCGCGGCACTTGTTTTCTATACTCTATTCTGTTCTCCGGCGTACGCACAGCGGAGGCTGCCCGGACGCGTATACCTGAACCAGGATTAGGCTTATCTGTTTCCTGGGCCGGTCTTTGAAAGTAATTGGAAGGGACGGAAGATGCTACCGCGTGAATGATTGAGCGCGGCAGGGTTAATCGAGTGCGTGGAAAAGCTTGATGCATTTGATAGAGCCGGCCTTGCCATAAGCGCGAAAGGGGGCGGGCGGCCAGGAAGAGGAGGAGAATTAGATTGGATCGGTGCGCGCCTTCGCGGTCTGATAAACTTTGCTCGTTTTGGGACAGCCGATCCGATTCAATAATTCTCGAGGAGTTAGTGGGAAGGCGCTTATCGGTGCCTCGCCGCTTAAACGAAGTGCTCGGCCGGGCTTCATTTTTTAGATACGTGCTTCTAAAAATATTATTTTCAATATCGATCAACCTTGAAAATGAATTTTTCAATATTAATTAGAAGAAATACCAACAGATTCGCGCTCGTACAGATTTATAGATCATTTCACGCGCGCAAACGCACGTGCATTCCACTTTTCAAGGCTCGCCTTGAACCTGCCCGGCCGCCGCACGAACAGTTTCACGTGAAACTGGAACCGAGCGACGATACGGCTTGATACGCTACCTGCACACACGGCTTTATGCACTCAGCCCGGTATCTTCTCGCGTGCCTCTACCGTGCTGCGCTCGTGAACCGACCCTTTCCTCTTTCTATGCCATGCTATTTCCCCTTGCCGTTCAACGATTCACTCAAGCCCGCGAAACACGTCTCGGTACGAAACATATATGTTTCGGTACAAGTTTAATCGACAGAATTATTAAAGAATATTTTTCATTCGGTAGTAGAAAATTGTTTTACGAAATAAAATGAGGCAGGGCTTCGGAAGAATTTTTGCTGCGAAAAATGTGAATGGGATTGTCGTAGTAATTCGGAACAAACCAAGGTGCCGATTCAGTTTGTCGCGAAGCGATCAAGGTCCTTCTTATCCTACCGAGAGGCCGCGATAAGATAAGCCCCGACGACGACGTTCGACTTCCGATAGCGCTGGAAACTCTCTGTTCGTTCTCTCCTAGTTTTCGCTAGTTCTCTACAATTTATTTCAAAGAGGAATCGAACCCTTGGTTAGGAAGGTATTCTAAAACCGGACTTAATACTGATCTACCAAGATTCACGAGTGAGATTTTAGGAGAGGAATATAAAAGACGAGATCCTCTCCATCGTTTTGCATTTCGAATCGGAGAAAAACGACTCTCCCAGAATTCCATCGACCGAGGTTCGGTGTCCTTCGGGATTCGAGATATACGAAAACGGTCGCGGCTGTTGAACGAAGTGGCACGTAGTTGGTGCGAATGTATCAGCGTGGAACGCTTATGTTAATGAGCCCGCGCGATTACCAGACGGGGCCAGCGAACAGGGAGATGATGTCGAGCCGATAGAGACGTCCAGACCGGATGCAAGGAAGGTCGAAGGAGAAAAGGGAACCGGATAATCGTCACCGTAGCTAGCGTACCGGTCGCTCGTCCGGTGGCTATCGGTTCTCCGCGGACGAAAGAAGGAAGGAAGTCGCGTTTTGCACGCGTACACCTGCGCGAAAAAGGGGCGCCTCCCACCTGCGGGCCACCTGAACCTGCGGATGGAAACCGCGTCCCCGGACACTCTCTGGGCACCTGACTCGCGACCATGCTCGGCTTGTTCAACGTAATTGGCCAGAGCAACATCGATCAACGTTCACCTGATCGCTCGACAGAAGTTTCATGCCTGATCACATTCTTCACAACTTCGTTAAGCGAACAAGGAACGTGTACCACGTGTTCATTTTTTAACATCGTACGGGGAAATTATAAACTGTTACGAAAAAGAAAGTGGAACGACAATTGTTGAAGAAACAGTAATGAATATCATTAAATTATCAAAATGAAGTAACGTGTACTGAGAAACTGGAACGAGCAAGATAGTAGCGTGATGATAGGCAGTGTCGGCGAAAGATCAGATTTTTCGGTTGTTCTCTGTATTCACTCGCAGCGAAACATTTTCGAGAGGTACGTTCGAGCGCGCAACGGTCACCAGGAAGATCCTGCTCGAGCTATGATAACGGATTCTCCAGGTATACTGTTACTACGCCCGAGAGAGCGTAGTTACTACCGAGAGACTGCCGAACGATTGGCACGGAACGGAGCACGTCCAGCCATAAAAGAATCCGGTGAACAATTATTTATTTTAAATCCGATACAGATCTCGTTTTTATTCCCAGCCATTTCCTATCATTACATAATCATTTTAAGCAGTATTGTATAGCAGTTTCAAATGAAGAAAAGACGTAAATGTCGAATCTTCATATTTAAATGTATTACGTCGTTATCCTTCGAAATCGAGGATCACAGCAGCCGAGAGGGCATCGCGTTCCGCACGGAATTCACTTCGGCCACGCGATATCCAACCCCTTTCAGGAAGTTCGCGTGACGAGAGCCACCGATCGGTAGAGTACGATTTCGCGTGACGAAAAATTGTTACAGCCCGATGTAACGACAGATTACTTATTTATATCGCACCCTAATCGCGACAAGATTGATCCCCTTTCCGGCGAATTTTCTAATGCGTTAAGAGACCTGTCGTGGCCGTATCCGATGGGAATTCATTATCGCGGTTGAATTCAATAGGAAAAGTGCGAAAAAAATCATAAGCAAATCGAGCGAGCTCCGGAGGACTTTGTACTGAATACAAAAGTAGGAAGCTGCACGCATATTATACAATTTGCATGAGTCACAGTTCAAACCCGTGCGCATAAATAAGTAATCGAGCCGATGGGGAAACCTACCTAACGACGAAAGTACAGCGTTGATGAAATAGTTGAAGGGAAAAATTGGAATGAGAGAAGCATCGCGCGACCCACCAACAGAAGCTATGTATTGTACAGTCGAGAGACTGTCCGCTTTAACGTTCTTATCCTTAGAACCATTGCCAAGGATTCCATCAGTAAAGTAGAACTGTCGGTCGATTTACCTGAAGTAGTGCGATCCGAACGGAGAACAATAGAAAGGGTCATTGTGCATGTGCGGTTGTCCAGGTACTCCAGGTCCTTGAGGATGACCGTGAGGACCCATCGGCCCTGTAGGTCCAGGGCCGCACATCCCAGGTGCGCCTTGGGGTTGCATGCCGGCCGGGCCCATCATGCCCGCGCCCGGGCCCATCGGATGGGGTCCAGGGTGGTGTGGCGAACCGACCATGTGCGGGCCAGGATGGTGAGGGTGAGGCGAGGGTCCGCCGCCACCCATGTGCGGGTGGGGCGCATGAGGTGAACCGCTCATCATTCCGTGGGGCGGCATCGGGTGCGGACTGGGAGACGCTCCGTTCAAGTGAGGTCCGCCGGTGACGCCGGCATGCGGCGTCGGCGGACCACCGTGAGTTGGTGTGGTCGCCGGCTGAGGCGGCGGTAAGCTAGGCGGCCCCGTGGGTCCAGTGGCCGCAAGCGGCGGCAGCGGTCCGTTCGCCATGTTGTTGAGTTGCGTGAGCGAGGCCGCTGCCGACGCCATCGCTTGCAACGGATTCGTGGCGCCGCTCGTTGTGCTGATGCCTAGACCCTGGTTGTTAGTGCTCACGCCGACTAAGTTGCTAGTGTTGAGACCTTGATTCCCGGTGTTACCGTTCGTATTGCCGTTGCTCCCGGCGCCAGCGGTGTTGTTCGTGTTGCTCACACCGCCGCCCAGCGATTGTAGCGAGGGCGGCAGCGGCGGCGAGCCGGCGGGGGGCGCTGCCGGGCCCCCGAGGCACCGGCCCGACGGACCGGGGGCGGTTACGCTGCTGGGCGCTACCGGCACGCCGGCGTGCAGTGGTATTCCACCTGGGGGGCGCTGTGCCACCCTCACCGGCATCACTCCCCCCTCCACGACGCTCTTCACCCTCTCCTCGAACTACCGCCGGCCTGGTGACTGGGGGTACGAGCGCGGGAATCTCTCGATCCGAACTTTCGTCGAGCTTTCCCCTCTTCCTCGATACTCCGATCCGTCGACGCTTCTATTCTCAGTCGTTGTCTTATTCCATATATTGCACTGTCTTCTCACTATCTATATACAATATATTTTTATGTTCCGTTAAACGTCGACGATTACTGTCGATCCCTTAGAGCGAACGATCAATCCGAAATCGCAGCGGTTGACTCGCGTCTCTTCGATAAAAGTCGTATCTCATTTAGTAGCTCATCGATCACGGTGAGTAATCACTGCGCGCGGGTTTCTCCGTGGGCAAGGGGATCACTACACTTCACGATATACTTTCCCAGCGTAAACGCGAGCAACCACGTGTCCTCGGCACACGCGCTTCGGACGGAACGGACGCACACGCGTACTCGTGCAATATCCAAGAAGTTCCACGATACGCCCGCAACGGTCTAGCGCGGGACACCGTACCAACATTATCGAAAAATCTTACTACTACTGAGGCGGTTAACGTTCTAACCGACTTTTAATTCCATACACAGGACGACGCTTGCCACCTGTTTACATCTATATCATCACTTATCAAGGTATAATTTCACAACCCTGTGGACAAAATTTCCTAAACACCAACGAAGTTACGAAGTACACTTGACGATCACCGACACTCTTCGCTGCTCCAACCGTGTTGGTGCACACTCTTGTTTATTCCTTTACCTAAAACCTCGGACCGTGGTCACCGTTTCACTCGACTAGCTACGTGTGTACGTGATCCAAGTTAGCAGGTAGCGAGGCATCCGCGGGGGCACGTGGCCGTCACGTCGTCGGCGTCGCGGTGCGCACCTACGTCGCGGACCAGCACACCTCGTCTCCCGCCCATCATGCCGGCCTTCCACTTCTTCCTCTCCACACCGCTTTCTTCTGGCGAACGACGCACGCCGGCGATCCTCCCGCGGGAAACTCTTATCATCCCGGTTACAGGCGGACTCAGTCGCCGCTAGGCGATCCAAACGCCAAGTCCGCTCGACCACGCTGCTCCACTAGCTGGCCGCGTTTCCGCATAGTCCGCGACGACTTATTACTCGTTTACGCTCGACTTCGAAATCCTTGCGACTCCCTCGATACTCTGCTCCGGTTCTAACGAGGATAGTACGAGGGAGAGAGAGAAGGACCGGGCTCGATCGACCACCGAACTGCAGCGCGAGATACGATCCACACACTTTTGAAAAACACACTACGCGCGGTCACCAAACGCGTAACTGATAAAGAGGCGAAGGTAAAACGTCGAGAAAAGGAGAGAGAGAGAGAAAGAGAGAGAGAGATAAACAGAGAGAAAAACACGTACGCGGGAGAACGCGCGTTGCGTGTCACAAAGGCAACGAAGCGACACCGTCCGCGAACGGTCGTACACTCGACGAGAGCAATCGTATTACTGCGGAGCGGCAGGCGTAGTGGCGCTACCATCGAGCTTTCGAGGACAGAAAAGCATTATAACTTGGTGGGGGCGAGCCACGCGAGGACATGGGGTGGGGGCTTGGGTGAACCGTAGCTCTGTAGCCTCGGCGAAAGGAATCGTCGGAAGGGAGCAGGCTCACGCACCTCGCTAAGGGTGGGGAGCCACGTGAGTTGCCCGATGCCCGGTGTCCACGCAACCCGGCGTGGGACTTGCGTTACCTCGGTTTGCCACCCCTGCACCGGGCAACCCTTTGCTTCCACGATTTTTTAGATCTCTCGGTTCTCTGCGCATTCTACATTCCCTAAACGATTAAAACTTCACAGACTCATTAATTAACAATTTTAAATATGAATTAGTCATCACTGTTAAATAAATAATATAAATATTTCTTGTATATGTAATTCTGATAATTCGAATGATGTACAATTGTATAAGACCGGAATAGGTTTGGTAAACAATCGGTCAAATACTGGGAAGCCGCACCTTTGTCGAAAGTTTATTGGCAGGCAGAGTTGGAAGAGTTTCACTTTCCTCGGGATCAAAGTCCGGCGACCGGTCCTGAAGGAAACCGGGGATTGATTCCGTTAAGATCACAGAGAAGCCCAGAAATCCGATTTATCGCGTTCGGGGTCAAGTTGAACACATTTGTACGGCGTGATGAAGAAGAATGGTCTTCCACCTTGACGCGCGGCGCGTGCGAAAACGACCATAGCGCGTTCCCTGTTCGTCGGACACTTGGCTTCCCTCTCATCCCTCCGTGTTCCTGCATTTTTTATGGGAACACTCCTTTTCTCGCTTATTTCAGGACTTTACGAGTAAATCCAAGCTCAGAGATATTCACTAAATCTGACTTCAGAAAAACTGAATAGATTACCGTAGAAATAATTTACAATTAATCAACAATTGATTCTTCTACGGTAAAGAGGAGATCAATAGGAGAAAGAAAAATTCGAAGATTCTCAGATGAATTAATCGCGTTTGCCTGTGTAATATTAAATCGTGCATGAAATTCATGGCTTTTATTTTCACCTGCAAGACGCTTGGCTCCCCTCGCTCGTACGGTCAGTACAAAGATTGAAAATTCTTTTGATCGAATCACCGAGAGGGGCTAGTCCAGTTTGGAGAGAGCGAATGGAAACAGCTTCGAAACGGTACAGAGCTAATAACGAGGCCCTAACCGCGACCTAAGGAACAGGACAGAGACTCAGGTAACTCGGTACTTGCCACGCAGGTAGAGTTTGAGACAAGAGGTATCATTGTCCGAGTGCTAGGCGACCGTTTACAAAGCGTCGGAAATTCTAGGTATCCCCTTCTACCTAACGGAAAATACAGTAACAAACTTTTCTTCGAGTTCTCCTCTCTCCATCATTGAACGTTCTCTGCAATACAGTTCTTTATAGAATGAAGCAACGCGTTCCTTTTTGGAATGTACCAACGAAAAGTATGCCACAGTTGTACGTTCGCACTCATTCATCAGAATGAACATCACATGAATCAAACTGGAATGTATCTAATAATTCCTAGAATATCACGGAGAAATCTCGAGGATGATTTTTTACGAAGCATAGAACGAAAGCTAGAACAGAGTCACGGTTGTGTTCGGTCGGTGCATTCTTCCCGTTGCTTCCAATGAAATTTTCTGTACGTGGGTGGTGCGTTTCTGGTCTAACACGACCTTCTGGCCCGAAGTGTACAGCGGAGTAGGGGCCGGCCGGGTCCTCTCGGATAGACTACCAAGAATTCCCCGGAACCATTAATCTGTTCGCTGCGACACCCGAGGCACCGTTTCACTCTACCGCCCCCCCATCCCTTTTTCCAGATCTCCGCTCCCTTTCGACCAGGTAAGCGTGGCCGAACCTTCGACCGAGCTATTGCATTGTCCATCCGAAGACGTTTCGTGTACCGCGTAGCAAGGTTGTTGCACTGATCAGAAACCACTATCGCGGCCGGAAGCGGCATTGCGATCTCCCAATAAAGGTGGGGGGCTAATTGCCGCCCAGGGGGGATGCACTGATTGTCGCGAGCCGGGGAACGGGTTATTGGTCAAGCAAATTCTTCGTATCGGGTAAGAGGCACGTGTTTCGAAAGGAATGGTTATTTCTTTTGCCCGGAGGTACGTCGGGCTCAAGTAGCGTAGGAATGTTTGGGATTATGCGAGGTAAGGGTCGCTGTTATTTTATTGACGATATTTACAAGTATCGTATTGTCTGTTATTGATTCACCATATGTTTGGACAGTCCTTTTAAAAAATTACAAGAATGTTCCTTTGATACTTGCGATGAATGCAATGTTGTCTCTTTTCGAAAGCTAACGACAAGTTAGGTCGGGTCACCTAGTAGCCCTATTCGATCCTCGAGCGAGATGAGCCACCCGAGTTTCCATGCGGCAGGTACACGTCCAGGCGGTCCGGACGTGGAATCCTCAGGTGAGTCGTCGAAACTTCGTCAAGGAGAGAGAAAAGAAGAGTAGGAAGGAGAAGAGGGCCTGGAAAGGTCGAGTGAGACAGGACAAGGCAAGGCAAGCAGACCGACGGGCGTCGCGCAAGAAGGAACAATTAGAGGCCAAATAAAGACGAAGAAGCGAGTCACAGTCGAGCGGGTTCGCAACGAGCGTGTGTGTGATTTCGGTCACGCCGCGCGCCTGTACGTTGACCCCCGGGATAAGGAGAGGAGAGGAGAGAATCAGGAGAGTAAGTGAACGAGAGCGAGAGAGAAAGAGAGGGGAAAAAACGAAGAAACATGGGGGCAGGCAGCTAAAAAAGGGAGGGAAAAAGACCGAACGAACACCGAGAGGAGAGGCGAACGGGGGAGGGAGAGGAAGGAGCGTTTGCTTCACCGTTCGTTTCTTTCTTGCTCTTCGGAGAGGGTACCTCGACTCGCCTCTCGGTCTCAACTCTCGCTCGTTGCCACCACGAGTCCGAAGAAGAAAGGGAAACGATCAAGGGGGCACGGTTGCCTGCGACGAACAAAGACACCGAGCCTCGGCGGAGAGAGAAAGGAGACGGAGAAACGGGAGGCTGAGAACTCACTTGGAGCAACCGGCGTACACAGGTACAACCGCGAGTTAATCATGACCACCGTTCAATGAAGCTTACCGAAGGCCGCGGAAAACTAATGCTTCAACCCCATTACAGTCTCCTACCTAACGAGATTTACGACAAAGCGCGAGATTAAACGTGATTCAACGAGATGTAAAATTCTCTCTATATTCAGGCATCTAACATTTGTTCCTGGAGAGAAACATGGTTCTGAATCCTGTCGTCTTTTTTCAAAGATGTTACGAATTGATTAGAGATGGTGGACGAACGGGCGATAATCGCGGAACGAGCTGTTGAACGTATCGAAAGCGGGACCCGAGGACCCGGGGACAGGGAGTAGGGCAGAGTGGCTTCTTTAAAGTAGAGTATCCTGTCGCGGCCGATAAGTAATCTTGTACCGGAACACTGGAGGCGTGGATACGAGCCCCTTAAAAGCGGTTCATGTGTATTCGACATGCGTATTACGCGTGCTCCCCGGGATTTGTCACGCGTCCGACTAAAGCCGCTCTCGAATCGAGTTCACGAAAACCTGTCTCATGGCCCGGCGGGATTGGTTTAGAAATATCTGAAGTACACGGCGTAAAAGTCCGATGACAACTGTGTCGCTAAATGGATCCGAAGAGGCTGACGACGTAATTGTTGGAAGAGCAGCCATTAATCCTTCCCCGAAGGACTCTTCCTATCGAGACACCATCCGACTTTCAATTCCGTCGGCAAATTTGTCTCTTGCCTTTCAAAGAGATCCTCGAAATGGCTCACCAAAAACCCAATTAATCCGCGAAACGAAACGGTGACAACCGGAAGACGAAGTGAAACGAACCCAGTCACCTGTGGATTCGTAAACGCCTCGGTAGCCCAGCGTCATTGAGCAAACAAGCATCGCGCCCTTGTACCGAAGTAGGTAGGTACTCTAAGCTCGATATACTTAGCGGTTACCCAATCAGCCTCAATCTAACCCGCAGCTATCTACTCCTAACTCTCTCCTTAGCGACGTCGCATCGGTGCCACCGGGTCTCGTCGAATCCGATCCTCGAACTTCGGATTCGGATCTCGTTACCAATTCCAAGATTACTTCTTAATGCCCGTTTCTATATGGTACTTTGACCACCGGAACTCAATGAAACTATCTTAAACAGCAATAGGTACTCCTTCGTAGATAACGAAAATAATTTATAACAATAGGCAAATTTTTTTTTATAAATATTCAATTTGTCGTAAGGTAATCCACTTCCATTCTGTCCTATTCCATCTAACAAATTCGCTGTTTAAAAGCAGAGTAGTATACAAAATATTGTTTGTGGGGAACTATCGAGGGTGAAAACGGTTCGTCGCGAAGAATTAAGGGGCAATCTTTAGAGGTCATCTAATTATGCGGTAAAACAGCGTTAATTCGCGGTTAATTTCTTAACGAGATAACTCGCCAGCGATGGTGAAAGGGGTGAGACGGTTGGTCGCGTTAGAGCCTCTAATGGCTCCGCGTGGCTACGTTCAACTAAATAAAAAAAAGGAACGACTGAGAGGGAGAAAGAGAGGAAGAGGTCCGGGGGTTGAAAAAAGAAACGGCACGGTGCGGGTGTGTTAATTAATTGGCGCGTAATTAAAAGCCGCAGCGGTACACACCCGTACAGCTCTCGGTTGTCCCTTCCAATATCGATATACTTCAAAGAATCCGTGACTGTGAAAGATGTCGTTTTAGCCAGGCGTTACCCCGCGACAACTAGGCTAATTAGAAGGGTGATAGACTGCGCGGGAGCCGGTAATCGAGTGGGTCGATGCAAAGGGTACGCGAATCATCGAAAGATTCGGTTCTCCGACGAGGGACACTTGACATTTTTCGTCGAGTGTTCCTACGGGCAGTATCTCTTGTGATACGTGGTTTGTACGAAGAAACAAAGATAACTTCTCGTAACCGGTGTGGTTTCGAATTCACACGGCATACAGGATTAATATATAATA